GCACACAGTTCTCTACACACTTACTGATGAATTCTGTGACGGTAGTGGCATACACATTTAGGTTGGCTGCTCAGTTCTCGAATATGGATGAGTCCACTGATTCCAAGCAGTCACGTAGGACCTCATCTGTTACCTCAGACCAGCATTGTATGATTTTCTGTACCAGATCCTCATGCTTCAGTTTCTGCTTGTAAGTTGGGAGAAGGAGCACAGTGTTATGGTCTGATTCACCAAAATCCAAGTGAGGAATGGAGCGGTAGGGCCTTTGATGGTTGTATAGAAACGGTCCAGGTTGTTTGGGCCTCAGATGTGTGGGTAGTATCTTGGTAACACACTGATGAGGTTGGCCTGGTTGAATTCACCAGCTACAGTGAACAAGGCCTTGGTTATACTGTTTAAGGTTATTTGTGGTGATGTATAATTCATCAAGTGATACCATCGCTAGACTATTAGCCCAGAGACCCAGCTAATAATCTTGGGACCCAGGTTTGAAATACACCCAAGACAGATGATGGAATTTGAATTAAATTCAAAACTCTGGAACTAAGAGTCTAATTATGACAGTGAAACTGTTGACAATCTTTTAAAAAAAAACTGGTTCACTAATGTACTTCAGGGAAGAAACGGCTGTCCTTACTGGACTGGCCTACATGTGACTCCAGGCTCACAGTAATATGATTGACTCTTCACTGTCCTCTGGGCAATAAATGCTAGCTTCACCAGTGATGCCCATGTCCCATGAATGAAGTTAAAAAGTTAACTTTGCTTATAAGATTTTTACTTCTCAATAAGTAAATAACTTTGACCTCAAACATTAAGATTATGATTTAAATGTGGATGTTTGCAGAATATGGCATTTTTAATCTTTAGAACTTCAAATTGACTCTGTACTGGTGGGATGAAAAGTAATTTATCCTTAAATCCCTTATATCATGGTTCCACTATTTCAAACAAAAATCTGTGTAAGTATTTTGCAAAAATACATCAGGGTAATAGAACAGGATGCAGAATATAGTGTTACAGCTACAGAAAAGGTGCAGAGAAAGATGAACTTTAACAATATAATAGAGGTCCGATCAAAAGTCTAATAACAGCAAAGAAGAAGCTGTTCTTAAATCTGTTGGTTGTCTTGATCCACTACAATTTGCCTACTGTCATAATAGGTCCACGGCATCACCCTGGCCCTACTGTCATCCCTGGAATATCTGGATAGCACGGACATTTACATCAGACTCTTATTTATTGACTTTAGCTCTGCCTTCTACACTATAATTCTAACAAAACTCCATCTCCAAACTCTGAGAGCTAGGATTCTGTTCTCCCTTCTGCAACTGGATCCTTGACGTCCTGACCTGCAGACTGCAATCAGAAAGGACAGGTGGCAACACCATCTCCCAATAATCCTGAACACTGGTGCGCCATAAGGCGGCGTACTCAACATCTTACTCTATTCCTTATCCACTCATGACTATGCAGTGAAATTCAGCTCTAACTCCATGTATAAATTTGTTGATGACACCACCGTAGTGAATCGGATCTCAAACAACGACAAGCCAGAGTATAGAAGATAGACAGCTTCATGGCATGGTGTAAAGGCACCAATCTCTCTCTCTCAATGTCAGCAAAATGAAGGAGCTGGTCATTGATTTCAGGAAGCGGAGTGGAGGACATGCCCCTGCTGCATCAATGGTGCTGAGATGGAAGTGGTCGAGAGCTTCGTTTTCGTAGGAGTAAATATCATTAATGATCTATCCTGGTTGATCCACACTGACGCTACAGTCAAGAAAGCACACCAACACTTCTACTTCCTTGGAAGGCTAAGCAAATTTGGCACATCCACAAGGCTGTAACCAATTTTTATAGATGCTCTTAGAAAGCATCCTATCTGGATGCATTACAGCTGAGTATAGCAACTGTTCTTGCCCAAGACTGCAAGAAATTACAGAGTTGTGAATGCAGCCCAGTCCATCACAAAAACCAGACTTGCATTGACTCCGTCTACACTTCCTGCTGCCTCAGGAAAGCAGCCAACATAATCAAAGACCCCTCCCAACCCGATTATATGCTCTTCCACCCTCTTCCATTGGGCAGAAGATACATAAGTTTGAAAACGGTTACCAACAATTTAAGGTCAGTTTTTCCCACACTGTTATCAGACTTACGTATGGACCTCTCTTATATCAGAGTTGATCTTTCTCTGCACCTTCTCTGTAGCTGTAGCACTATATTCTGCATTCTGTTCTCTTACCCTGATGTACCTATGTAATATATGATTTGTCTGGTTAGTGTGCAAATCAGGACTTTTCCCTGTATCTCGGTACATATGACAATAATAAATCAAATCAAATCAAATCAAATCATGTTGAGTTACCTTGAAGGTCCCACCCTCTCAACCTCTCCCCTTGCCTGAGGTGTGGTGACCCTCAACTAAACTTACTGCCAGTCATCTCTAATGAGAGAGAAGTTCCTGTGAAACTACAGTGACTTTACTAATATCATTAGGCCATTGTCTCTCCAAATACTTGAATTGCAAGTTATTTGAACAATATTTTCTATGGATACCCTGTCTTTGTCCAACCAAGTGTACTTTGGGTGGAGACATTTGCTAGGGTGCAATTAAATCACCCAAGTATAGGGAAGTTAGCATCTTCAGCTTGCCATTATTGTACTAGGATAATAGCAAAGTGGGGAGAAAAACAACAATATACTCTGCAAATTCAGATGTCTACTCTGCCAAAGTTTGGAAAGAATGTAAAGATTCAGCGTTCAGAGTAGGGAGTTTTAATTGTATGTAACTGGTTCTGGGATTGGACTGTAAAATAGCCTTGAGAATCGTTACTCATCTTGACCTGATTTGCGTAACAGACAGAAACCAGAGTGATGGAGGTCACAGCATGTACTGAGTAATTAAATTCAATATGATGTTGTATCCAGACATACTAAAACCCAGGAGTCAGGAACGTCATTTCAATAGCTCTAAATTCAAAGAAATGAGTAGAAAACTAAAGCAAATGAATTGGAGGAGTATGATGTGCAGGAAATCACAATTTCTAAGTGTAATCTACCTGTTCAGCAAAATTTTGGTGTACAGTCTACAGTCAGGCAACATTTTGGTGTGTCCCATTCTGGTTGCTGGGAAGCAAGACTTTTCAGTGCTGGAATCAATGTAGAGAAGAACCTCAAGACTGATTCTGCCATATCAAAAATCTGAAAAACAGGGGCACCTTGGGCTTTTCAACCATTCAAAATGAGAAATGATGCTACAGAGGTATATGATAGTCAATGGTTTGGAAAAAGAAAATCCAGAGAATCACTTCAAAGTAAATCAGTAGGTTAGGTTTGGGATGTGAATGCATTGGACTTGAACAGAGAAAACAGAGGGTTCTCTAGATGGAAGAATTAAGCTGGGCCAAAGGGACTTTCTCGTGAATACCATTAGAACAATGTCTTCTGGGACCTTATTGAAAAGCGGAAGAAAAATGTTCTCTAAACCATGCAGTGTTGATGTAGAATGCCAACATAGAAACAGTGATGGAAGTAGCACCTATCATCTTTGAAAGGTAACTGGATAATTATGCAAAATGAGATGGGCATGGGCTAAGGGCAGAGAAATGTCACTGAGTAAATCATTGAGGTTATGCCACAGATTCTGTGGGGTTAACAATTTCTTCCTATGCTGCACTTCCTATAATTCAGTGTTTTGTCATCCATTTGTGTGCCATGGCAACAAATCTGGGAGGGTATTTGACAGTGGAGTGGATTCCAGACATACCTGACAATTTCTCCTCTATCTGACATTCACTTCAGATGTGTTCTCAGCAGTTTTTGCCACTGGAATGGGAAGTGTCCAATTTTCATGTCAATCTCTGTAAAGCAAATGGAAAATGAAATATAGTTGTGGATTGATGATGTAAATTCATCACTTTTTTTATAGGATGCATGGTGAGTTACTACAGAGGATCATGCATGGTTGGAGTATGTCTGAGTTATGCTGTCAACAAAGATACGGTGTGGTCAGACTGTCAGGATTATCTACTAGAAGGACAAAGCCCAGTGGGGTTGGTCAGATGTTTCCAAGGATACCTCTTGGTTCAAAATATCATCCCACTAAGTGCCTTGGACAAATTTGTCAACAAACAGATATTTTGCTTTTGTAACTGCTATAGGAAGGATGTTGTGAAACTTGAAAGGGTTCAGAAAAGATTTACAAGGTTGTTGCCAGATTTAGAGGGTTTGAGCTATAGGGAGAGGTTGAATAGGCTGGGGCTATTTTCCCTGGAGCATCAGAGGCTGAGGAGTGACTTTACAGAGGTTTATAAAATCATGAGGGGCATGGACAAGGTGAATAGACAAGATATTTTCCCCAGGGTGGAGAAGTACAAAACTAGAGGGCATAGATTTAAGATGAGAGGAGAAAGATTTAAAAGGGACCTAAGGGGCAACTTTTCATGCAGTGGGTGGTGTGTGTATGGAATGAGCTGCCAAAGGAAGTGATGGAGGTGGATACAATTACATTTAAAAGGCATCTGGATGGGTATATGAATAGGAAGGGTTTAGAGGGATATGGGCCAAATCCTGGCAAATTGGACTAGATTAATTTAGGATATCTGACAAGTTGGACCGAAGGGTCTGTTTCCATGCTGTACACCTCCATGATTCCATATAGATAGAAAAGAAAGAGGGAAATAACAAATATGCCAATATTTGATGACTATGACTTAGAATATGACAAATGATACTGGTTACATCACCATTATATTCCAGTAGTTCTATGTCTCAAGTTGATTCTGTTTAATAGTTGCACCTCTGGAGCTTGAAGATTTGCAGGTTTGTGTGTTGAATCTTGCTCACGACACAGCTGTGTCTTCCTCTGGAACGTCAGCTCTCCTGCAGTCAGTTTGAAATAAACCTCTCCTATTGCAAAGGCAGGAAGGTTTCTCTGTACAGGGCTTTGACTGTCTCCATAGAAACTGTGTTTGTTTACAACCACTCCTTTCAGCATGGCTCCATCTCCATGTTTGCAGCTTGAAGTAATCGGCTGCATTACAGATCCAACATTTTACCAGGCAAAATGTGCAGCAGAGGTGATTATAATTTTTTTGCCTGCTTTGTGCTTTTTAAAGGTTGGCTTGTTTTAAAATACATGAAACCTATGAAAGAAGAGTGAACCAGTTTCCGAATCTCTTCTGGTTTTACTTTAGCTAAAGAGTAAAAATTTAATACATAAAGATCAGCATATATATGTCAAGTGATTTACTGTCTAAAATTGTTATTGTGAAAATACTACATTTTTCACATTATTGAGATGTGAGCATTGTAGGCATGGGCAGTGTTTATTGCCCATCCCTAATTATGCTTGAAATGTTAGTGGTGTTTTGCTTTCTTGAAGCATTGCAGTCCACCAGAAGGCACACCCAAAGGGAAGGAGTTGCAGCATCAGTGAGGGAATGGTAATATAGTACCAAGTCAGGATGGTGTGTGACTTGGAGGGAAATTTGAAGGTGGTGTGTTCCCATGTGTAAGCTGTCCTTGCCCATCTAGGTGGAATAGATCAGGGTTTGGAAGGGGCTTTGGTGAGTTACTACAGAGGATCATACATGTGATAGACTCTGCTGTTACTGCACACCAGTGGTAGACTAAGTGAAAGTTTAAGATGGTGGATTGGGTACTAATCGAACAGTCTGCTTTTGAACCAAGCTACTTGAGTGTTGCTGGAGCTGCATTCATCCAGGCAGGTGGAAAACATTCTGTCAGGCTCCTGGATTTGTGCCTTTTGGATGGCGAGCAGGTATTATGGAATCAGGTAGTGAATTACACACCACAGAATTCCCAGCCTGTTTTTACAGACCACGGGTATTTATATGACAAGCTTGGTTATATTTCTGATCAATGTTAGCATGTAAAGTATTGAAGAATTGTGAGAGTGGGTCATTCAGTAGTGAAAATGATTCAAGGGGAGATAGTTAGATTCTCTCTTTTTGGTGCTGGTCAATGGCTGGCATTATGTGGCATGAACTTATCAGCCCAAGACAGAATGTGATGCAAGTCTTGCCTCATAAGGACACTGAAAATAAAAAAAATGCTGGATATCACAGCAGATCAGGCAGTATCCATGCAGAGAAAGCAAGCTAACATTTCACAGGCTGTTTTATCATCTGAGGAGTTGCAAGTGGTACTGAATTATGTGATCATCGATGAATATTCCCTCTTCTGACTTTAAGTTGAAGGGAATGCTATGGATGAAACAGCTGAAGATTGTTGAGCTGTGAGCTTCTTCAACTTGATACTCTGATAACTGGCCTTCAACACCATGACCATCTTCATCTGTGTTAGTTATGACTCCAAAAAGCAGAGAGCTCTTCCTCCTGATTCCCATTTACTCCAATTTTGTTAGATGCATTGAGGGCATTGTGGTGGAGTGATGGTGTCCCTACCTCTGAACCAAGAGGTTCAAGTCTCACCTGTTCCAGAGGTGTGTAATAACAACTCTGAACAGGCTGATGAGGAGATACAGAGGAAGAAACGTCAGCCTTCCTGCTCCTCTGATGCTGCTTGGCCTGCTCTGTTCATCCAGCTCTACACTTTGTTATCTCAGATTCTCCAGCATCTGCAGTTCCTACTATCCCTGTCTATGTCATGCTGCTTCCAGTGTTTAGTATTAATGTAATTTTTTTTTGTAATTTCACCAGACTCACATCTCATATTTAAGCCTAATACCGCTGCTGGCATGCTCTTAAACATTTATTGAGGCAGGATGACTGCTCTCGCTTAAAACAGAAGGTGCTGGGAAGTTCAGCAGGTGTGGGAACATCTGCAGTCAGAGAAAGAGAGTTAATGTTTTGAGCCCAAAATGATTTCTTCTAAAGAGGAGTCATACCAGACTTGAAATCTTAGCTCTATTTTCCTCTCTCCCCAGATGCTGCCAGACCTACTGAGTTTCTGTTTTTATTTCAGATTTCTGGCATTCACAGTAGTTTGCTTTTAACCAGTTCTGGGGCTTGATGATAAAGGTAGATGAGGGATATGCCAAGCCACGAAGTTACAGGTTATTATTGAATATAATGTTGTTGCTTGTGATGGCCTACAGCATCTCACAAATGCCCAGTTTTGAGCTGCTAATGAAGAATGAAAATTATTAACAGCTTGAACCAGTGATAATACAGTTGCCCTCGAGTCCAAGTTATGGGTTTAAGCCTCACCCCAGAATTTGGATTAAACAATTAGCTGCAGTCAGAAGTGCTGTGTTTAGAACACTCAACCTGTCTGACATTTTATGGTAAATGAACATGAAGGATGTGTTTTTAATATATGTGGTTTACAATGAATAGTAAATAGATGGCAGAGAGTTTCAAACTAATTTAATATCCAGGCCCTCCTGCTGTTCGCAAATAACCTTGAGCTTTGCTCTTCATATATTGCCAGGCTACCATCTGTCACGCAAAACTATAATTGAAAATTAATAAAGTATGAGATTTCATTTTATGACCAGCTGAAAAGTGTTGAGAGTGTGATGTTGTACCTGACTGTAGAAAGGGACCAACTTCAACAGAAAATATTCACTTGATTAAACAATTTAATTTAAAAAAAACTGTAGAAGGCCTTTCTACAAGGACAAACTTTATTGATTTCATAATTGGATAGAGGTCAATACGAGGCAAGGCATATTAAAGGATCTGTTTGGAGAGACATCTTCAGATGAGAATAAGGCCACTTTCTGTTTGTTTTCATTTTATTGAATACAGATCTTCATTGTAGACCTGAATGTTGACTGTGACACTGTTAACATACCCCATCAACCAGGGAAATTGAGTGTTACAAACACTCAATTTGTAGGCCATTTGGCCTACTGTGCTATTCTATAAGATCATTGCTGATCAGTTTGTGTGCCGAAAAATTCCACATTCCCACTATCCCCAAAAACCTTTGACTCCCCCTCCCAACAATAATTTATTCTCCTCCACTTTAAAAGTATTTAATGATCCCACTTCCACCATGCCTGATCTAAAATCAAACAACAGTCAGGGAAACAGTTCCCTTCATTCTAACTTAAAAGGGTGACCTCTAATTTTAAATAGGGGGATTTATCCATAATGTCAAAGTAGCCTCCACACATTCAGACTCAGGAGCCCATAACATCAGCTGACCACGACAGGACAAGTCTGAGGACACTTCTATGTACATGCTGATGTCATCACTTTTCAAGCATTGACATGTCAGCATCAGTGCATGCACCGTTGTCAATGGGAACCATGCATTGGGCAGAGGGGAAGCTGGGGGCCAGGGCATGACTGGGTCTGATGAAGTAGCTTTTCGCCCATTGTAGAAGGAGGGACAAAGATCTGTACTAGGACTGGGAACAGAGGTGGGGGGAATGGGCAGGGAATGGGGGGGTGGGGTGTCATGGGGAGCGGAGGCTAGCACCAGGGCTGGAGGGTGGGAGGGAGCGCTGGCACTGTGTAATGCAGGGAGCAGGAGTTAGCCAGCACTTGTAGCTCTCTCTTTCTGACTAAAATTTCATTCAATTAGGGTCTTTAATGCAGAAAGGAATAGTCAAAGCACTTTGCCAAAATGTAGTCTGACAAAAGACAGAGACCTCAGAAAAGTGACATAAAATCTTCATCAAAATGATAGGTTTTAAAGAAGTACTCGAAGGAAGAGAGAACAGTGGAGACGAGATAGTATAGGAAGGAATTATAGTTTGTAGATCTTGACATGAAGGTATGGCAGGTAATTGGCAAAGAAGCTGAAGAATGCAAGAGACCGGAATAGGAGGAATGTGAAGCACACAGATTAAGTCACAGTGGCAAGAGTGAGGCATGAAGAGATTTAAACATGAGGTTCTGAAGTCTGAATTTCTGGCATAGTGGTTGAGAGTCCATAGGTAACTACAGAAGTGACAGGTCAAGAGTTCTTGATGCAGAGTAGAATTCTGTCAGCCGAAATAAATACTAGAAATACCCAGCAGCTCTGGCAATTCTGAGTGCTCTGAGATGACTCATATTTGACTTGAAGCATTAACTTTGTTCCTTTCGCCACAGATGCGGTCAGAACTGCTGAGCGTTTCCAGCAGTTTCTAGTTTTGCTTCAGATCTGCAGCACCTGCAGAACATTGCTTTTATTTTACAGCCAGTTGAGTTTGGGTTGTGCTGATATTTCTGGATGTTGGGAAGCTAGTTGGGCAACATCATTACTGTCCAATCTGCAAGTGCCAAATACATGGCTGAACTGAGACTTTCTGAAGTAGGTGGATTTTGATAATTGTTGTGGAAGGGCAATAACACCTGGGATCAATGTTGCGATGATATCATGAAGCTGCACATCACTGAGTATAAATGAGTGTGGATGGAGCTGGAACACACTAGAAAGATCACTGAAAGATTAAGTCTCAAAGGAACACTCTGATAGACATTAGATTGAGACTGTTTGGAGAAAACACGTGATCAAAAACATATGAAGACAATGGTGCTATCCACAAGATTCACTGTTTAGAAAATTGTGTCAGTAGTGAAGATCAAGAAACACAGCTGAGATCATCGAGAGAAGAGAATTCAAATAACTCTACAGAGGTCGGTTTCCTGTCACCAAGTCACCCTTTATTTACAGTCCTAGACTTTAGTACTGCCTCTTCAGAGCCAGGTCTTAGACTGAGCAGAAACTCTGACAAGAGATAGTAGGAACTGCAGATGCTGGAGAATTCGAGACAATAAGGTGCAGGGCTGGATGAACACAGCAGGCCAAGCAGCATCATAGGAGCAGAGAGGCTGACGTTTCGGGCCTAGACCCTTCATCAGAAAAGGGGGAGGGGAAGGGGATTCTGAAATAAATAGGGAGAGAGTGGGAGGCGGATAGAAGATGGATAGAGGAGAGGATAGGTGGAGAGGAAACAAACAGATCGAAGAGGCGGGGATGGGGCCAGTAAAGGTGAGTGTAGGTGGGGAGTTAGGGAGGGGATAGGTCAGTCCAGAGAGGACGGACAGGTCAAGGGGGCGGAATGAGTTTAGTCGGTAGGAGATGGGGGTGCGGCTTGAGGTGGGAGGAGGGGATAGGTGGGAGGAAGAACAGGTTAGGGAGGCGGGGACGAGCT